ATGTAAAACAGACACGTTTGTTGTATACAAGTTACCTAATACCCTATATGGAGTTACTAGTTAAGGATAAAAGCCCAGACGCAGGACTTATGACGCCAGAACTGCCTCATGTTGTAAGCTGTATTTTAACCCATGTAACAGATTAATATTTTTGCAAACAAAGGATCGTTCATTGAGCGTGTACCTATGAAAGCTGCTTTAATTTAAATATGATTATATTTCAAAGGAGTTATTCATTTGTCACTGGTTTAATTGTTTTAATTAATATAAATAAATAGGTTATTCTAGGTATCTTTCTCCAACGCTTGAGGTTCAAAAACAAAAATGAAATCACACATTTTTAATAATAGTCAATGTTAACTTCTGAATAAATTAAGCTACATAATTAGATCAAAATTAAAAATCAACCAAGAACTTAACATGTCTAAGTAAATATACTTTTCTTACGTTCTTACCTATAGAGATTAGAGTACATTGTTTTATCAGTTGGGTATCCTCGTTGTTAATGGTATTTTTACCCGTAAACCCAATAATATCTCATGAGGTATGGGCAGCTTAGGAGATTTAAGTTATTCCTAAATCCACATACTAAATTAACAATAAAAAAAATTCTATAATAAAAATATAACAGTAAAAAATGAAAACGATAAAACTAGAAATGATAAACATTTAACCAATACTGTTAGTAAAAGTAACATTTAAGAAATATTAGAGTAAACCTTACTTATGGAACTCACAAGTTGTTAAATTTCCTTCATGTTTCTCACAAGGTCCAGTGAATTGTAATGCTCTAGCTTTTATTGATTAATTATATTATTATGAGAAATATTTTTCCTTCTTAAGGCGCGAAGAGCATTTAACAACAAAGCATCATTCAATTTTCAATGAAGTGCAAAAAATTAACCACAATAAGAAAGTATTTCAGCAGAGGCGTCCGTTAGGCACTGGCACACGAGACCTGTGCCCCGATTCTATTTTACAGTGCCCCAAATTCACAGTTGGTGTCTTTAAAAATCATAATAGAAAACCATGATTGATATCATACTGAAACGCCAAAAATTCCCGCGTCTATGGCCCCGAGCCTCGAATCTTTTAAGCACCTAGAGACGCCTCTGTTTCAAAGGCTTCTATTTATTTGGGTATACATGAAACTTATGTTTTAATTAGACGGGATTGATTACAACTGTTATCTGTAACCAATATTGATCACGTTAGCCAAACAAATAAATGCAACTACAGCGTGAAAACATCTGAAAAATACAAAGAAAAAAGTAAAAATCGTTGTAAGGGAAAATAATTATGTGGCCAACCTTCGTTCTGGCTAATCTACCTTCATAGAAATCACCATCGACTCAACTAACCAATAGACCTTGAATTTACTAACGCATAAAAATCAGGACTCTGTAAAGATCTTTTATTCTCGAGAAAAAAAATATGAAAACTGTGTTGAAGTACACAAAAATTTCTAAAAAAATACTTCAAAAATTGAAACTAACTTAACTTTTTCCACGAGTCCATGAAAGATTAATAGCTTGAAGGTCGCTTGGTTTAAAAGTTGGTCACGTAATTAACTTTCTCTTATAGCACTTTTAATTGTTGATTTGTATTTTCAGATTATATCACGTAAACATTAATTCTAATTATCTCATTATTTTGTCTGTTTGTTGTTAATCGCAAATCTACACAATGGGTTGTCTGTTCTATTAACACCATGGGTATCGAAACCCGATTTTTAGCGTTATAAGACTTCAGATTTACCGTTGAGCCAGTCAGGGGGCTACTATTTTGCAACTGCTAATTTGAGGGGAGGTGGCATAACAGGAAAAAAAAAACTTTTACTAACTAGATTTTGAAACCTAGGAATGATTTAGTCTATATTCAAGAAATTTGTTTTATGTATTAGGAAAAAAAATAGATTTTTATTTCCGTAATGCTAGAAACCAAAGTACCAGTAATCGATGGTTTTCAATTAAAACTGATAAAATTTTCATACCCAAAACTTGATCTATTCGCATATCTATGAAACTTGAAACTGTGTATAAAGAAAGTTAATGTTTTGACCATTATTAAACAAAATTTCAAATAGCTCCAACTTCTTATGATTATGACTCGAAATTACTTAAGCTTGCATTCACCACGTGGATTGCACATTTAAAAGTTTGAACTTTCGAAATTGACTATTATTGTTTTGTACTTCCTATCTACTTAACAAAGGTTCTATAGTTTAGACAAAACATCACAAATTGTGTCAATGTAGCCTCAGAGTTAATTATTTCACCATGTAGTCGAATTAATCCAGGTAAGAGTGTTTTTATAATAACTCTTTCTCTTTTACCTGAACACGGGCACAAGGTAGGGGGAGCTATAACCCATAGAGGTTAATACTGCAACCCAACAAACCAACGAGAAGTCAGTCTTACAAGTATAAAATTTCACACATTGTGGTTGGTTTAAGATATTGACAAACTTATTAATATCTACAATAGTGATTTTCAAAATGCTAAGTTTAAACAGAAGAATAAAATTATACGCGGGTTACCACATTTTCACGTTGTTTCAATCAATTTTATGACCACGACATATTAAATTAAGACTAACTAGACTAAAATCAACGGAATATAATTATATCCATGTATACACTAAACAGCCAGAGATCGAGCATTTAATTAGGAACCGCATAACGTACTTTTGTAAAGCAAAATGGGAATAATATAAAGCACAATACAATGATTCCTTATCGAACCTGCCACTTGCCAGGAAGTTTGCACACGACCCGAGGAACAGTCAGTACGTAGTATTCTAAGGATCAAGTACACAATCATCTGATCTTTGTAATAACTGGAGATTCGTTGGGTTAGTATGTCGTGATTTGTTGTAGGTGAAATAAAAGAGCAATAAGTGTTGTGAATTTGAAATAAAAAAAATGACTTTAATTTTTGAAGATAATGGCTAATCATGGTAACAGTAGAACTGTTGCAGTGGCAGTTAAAGTTACTGAGTAAAATAAACTGCATTAAAATAAAAAGGTAAGTAAATTAAAACCGTGATAAAAGAAATGTAAGCTAATGTAAGCTAAAAACTATTGCTAACGATTAGACAATAGAACAGGTCCGCACCCAATTAGCAAGCTAAATAATTTGAAACAAGATTTGGTAAGGCGTTCTCACTCAGTCAGCGAACCTGCCAAATTGTGTTTACAGTTCACCTACTCTATCTATCTCTAATGTTGACTAACTACAAAACATCTAAAATGTATTTTTTTCTTCTGGACATAAAGCAGTTCCGCATTCGCAAGATAAAATAAAAGACGATAAAACTATCCCTTGAAATAGTTTAGGTTCCTCCATTGAGTCCTCTTATAAAAAGTGAAACATAGGGCTAAATCAGGACATGACCCTAACTGGATTTACCATGCTCAAAATATATAAATTAAAGGGAAATTAGTTTGGATTTGGTTGTTTGAAGTTTTTGGGGCAGCGTAACAGGGCTATCTGCGCAAGTGCCCCTCTTGCCCCCCCCCCTCCACTGCGGACGCCCATGATTCAGAGGTGTGTATAAATAGCATTTCATATCTGTCTTTTGTCTTTCACAAGTTACTGCCCAAAGATACTTTTTCTTCAATACCAGAAGTAGTTAGGTAGGCTTGACAATGCGGAATAAAATATTTTCTGAAGTGCCATCTGTATTGTTACGTCTCCGTTTGTTAATTAATTTTCCGCAACTTCGTTCCGGCAAAACTTTAGCGACACAAGTCCTTACTTAATAAAACTGGTTTATTCTTTCTGAATATAACTTTACCGATACACTTATTTTCAACAGTCGCTCTTTTACAAATGTTTTAACAACGAACGTTAACTTCAACAATACTTCCTGACTGCAGTTCAATTACTCACTACTTACACACATTGTCCCGTCACGTTGTCACCATCTTATATATACCAGACTACCCTATATCTAGTAAATGCAAGGGCATTCACGAAGGAACAAGATATTTCCAGAAAGCAGGAGGCGTGACACTAGTCACGTGACCTCGCTGACGCAACAGTATATATGCTTGTTTGTTTGTTTGTAATTAAGCACAAAGTTACACAATGGGCTATCTGTGCTCTGCCCACCATGGGTATCTAAACCCGGATTCTAGCTTCGTAACTATATATATATATGCAATATACTACTTCAGGAATTATGGTTCAAACGCCGAAAGCTGTTGAAGCATCATATATCAATGGTTATTTGTTTGTCTGGAGTTTAAGTATAAAGCTACAGATTGGGCTGTCTGTGCCTTGCCTACCATGGGTATCGAAACTCGGTTTCTAGCATTGTAAGTTCACAGACATACCGCTGTGCCAATAGGGAGCAAGATCAATAAGAAAAGAAAGAAAAGTAAAAGGTGATATTTTTGAATTTCAATTGAATTAATTGCCAATAATTAATATGGAAAACAAAAAACGGATCTAAAAGAATATTGTTACACGTCTCTGATTTTGAACCCGAACGATAAAACTTGAGAAGAATGTGGTTTTTAATGCTTTGCCAGCTTTCGGCGTTCAAACCGTAATATTTGTGGTCTGTTTGCCTAATAATATGGTATGCACTGTTATGTTAAGTTTTATTAAATTAGTATATGGATGCGTGGGGCTACGTTAAAGTTAGAGTTTAGGATTTAATCAAATATATACTAAGATCATATGGAATACGCTTATATGATTTCAAAAGCTAGATTAAGTTACAGCTGCTGATTTTATATGACATAAAACCACTCTAAATGCTAAAACCCAATGTTCGATTCCCTGGAGTAGACAGAACACAGATAGCCTATTATGGCTTAAATAAAAGCTCTCTTTTGATTAACTGGATGTAAAGGTAGTTTTTTCTGACTATTATCAATTAGCCTATTATGTAGCTTTGCTCTAAATCAAACAAAAAAATTACATAAAGTAATCTTTTAAATTGAATTAACTTTTTCCGTCAGTTGTAAAGCGACACCTTTTATTTTATAGCTAAGCATAGCATAGAAAGAGTGTGAGGATACGATAATACATGTGATGTATTGTAATGCTTGATTGAATAAAGTAAGAGCTAAAATGCCAACTAAAAAAAGAAAGGTATACAGTAATATAGGCCGATCAGAAGAAACAGACAACGGTGGGTCAGACAATTCTTCTGAAGGGTAAGTACCAATAATAAGCATTCATTGCCAATGGCAGCCATAAATTATAACTTAATATTAGTTATATCAATAACTTATAAGTATAATATTAATACAGTGTTAATGAAATTTTCATTTTTCCAATTACTGATGTACCCGTAGGTTACAAGTGCTGGAATTATTAGTTCAGATATTATCAGAAATGAGAAAATTGTCGGACGTGATGGTTATCAATATCAAATCCAGTTAATTTAATCATTAATTGATGAGGATTAAACAAGTCAAAAGAGGTAGAAAGTACAAACAAAAGAGGTATTATTGGAAAATGTAATCAGGAGTTTAGTGAAAAGGTTGCTGCATAGTTATAAAACTTTGTGCATTTTTAAACTTGTATGTCATGTTGATCATGATAAGTCAGCAGTACTTATTTGATGAGATGAATTTAAGGTATTGAAATGTTTTAAATACTTTACTTTTTGTGTTGGAGAAATATTAGTGTCACAGAGAGTGAGAAGATCCTGGATGTGATAAGCAATAAAATCCTCAATCCTTTGGATAATTGTGTCATCATTGTGAAAAATACAGAAAGGGTTTTAGGATCTGTTTACAGGAAATTTGAGTTCCAAAGTGGGGAAGATCCATTGCATTGTATAAAATTTTGATAAAACCCCTGATCATTTGAAGAAAATTCAGATTTGGTTCCCTCATTATAGAAAATATAATATTTGCTTTTAAAAATTTAGGTAAAGGTACAGTATTAAAATGATTCATGATTTGAAAAATTAAAGCTACAAAGTGACACTCATAGATTTGAATTTTTCTTTCTCTGATGCATTGAACTAGACATGACCTGATTCAGGTATTTAGCCCTATGGATAATTGTCTCAATCATTTTGACTAACCTTGTAATCATAAAAGAACCTTAAACTATACAAACTATAACTCTTAATATACTAAATGTATCTTTACAAAATTTAGCAAGCTTTTAGTAAACATTACAAGTCCTGTTGTACACGAAAAATCATATTTTTTATGGAGAATTTTTACTAAAGATTTATCTTTGAATTTGTAAAACCTTTACTGAGTGATTCTGAGAGAAGTATGATTTTCATGCTAAAAATACAAAATACTTCTTTCCACCCTACAGTTTTCATATTTCATTTGCGTAACCCTTTAAAATCCCCCAAATGAATATTAATTTTTTTTATAAAACTTGATACTTTGTTTCTTTTTTTCTGAACCCTAACACTAACTATAGTGAAATCATATGTAGCAAAAGTTGAAAAGATTAAATAAATGAAGAATGCTTTTTTTTTTAAATGTCTGCAGAATAATAGACAATTACAATTTTTATTTTAAGAGCTGTAGGCCTGTTAAATGTTTACAACTGCTTTCATTTAATTTTATTGTTCTTTGAATTGTGTTTAGCTATTGTGACAAGCAGTAAGTCACCAGATAGAATAATAGACTAATCAAATGGATCAAATTACATCATGCATATTTGTGTGCATTTAATGGAAGAGAGAAAATCTAAAAATGAGAAATCACAGTAAAAGGTTGTGACATGCACAATTTGACCCACTCCATCCATTTTTATAGTGTTAAAAGCAACAGGAACTTGTATAAATTGTTCAGTGATAGGTTTCTTTGAGATGTAATTCTAAAAGTAGAGGAAATAAGTGTAAAATGTGAAAGCCCATATCCAGACTGATTATTAGGCAAATGTTTTTCTTTGTTAGAGGTATTAATATGTGATATGTTTATTTTCAGATAATGAACATTTTTGTTGGAGAATTTTATATATATATAAACAATTACATATATTTAATTTATAATTTATAAGTTTTAGCACTTTTTAACGTGGTCTATTTTCATCGTAGCTCCCAATAGCATTTCATTCCAAACTTGAATACGTTATTGAGTTTAAATACTTGAGTACTTTCAAAACCAGTTCTTGAGGGAGCTCTGCTAGTGACACTTACACTATAAAAATTGATGAATTATAAAAAATTATTTTATATGTTCTTAAAGACTTACTTATGCTACTATGTTTTCACTTAATAAACAATTTCTTGTGAGTAATCTTATCAAATGCTGTAAATATCATGATACACATGGTTCACTGAGGTGTATTCTTCCAAAGATATTAAAACTTTATCAAGAAAATCATGTTTGAAAAACTGTTATTTCTATAAAAAAGTTGAAAGCTGAAAATATTTTTGAAAAGTTGTTTCATCACACAAATATAGATACAATATCACGCTGCCTTTTAATATTACAAAAAAGTATTTAAAAAAAAGAGAAATGCAGAGAAGTTAAGTGTTTATTTCTTCTGTGTTTAAAAAATAAGTTTTATGCTATATTATATATATTTTACTGTAACATAGCAGATACCATCAGCAAACCATATTTTCAGTTATTGTTAAGTAAGTTGTAGAACATTTTATGCATGTTTAATATATACAGATTTTTTAATAAAATAATATTTTTAGTTTTTTCACTTCATATTCAGGTCTTTTCAAATTACACAGGCCTGCAATGGTTTTATTGCCTTGAAAGTTTTATATGTTATACAGTAATTCCTGTATGCTGAATCCAAAAATGATATTCATTTTTATCTATCATGTACAGATTTTCCACTAAACAGCATAATGCAATACATAAAAGAAAGATCACAACATGTAGTTTTGAGTCTAAAAGATGTAGATTTCACACAAAAAAAATCAGGATGAATGAGAATACATATTTATTTGACATCAATGTTCTTCTCTTTTCCTCTGTTTGTATTTTTGTTAACAAACATAATAATAAAAAATGTTCATTGTGGTAAACAAAGTAATAACTTGATCTAAGTGACAAGTTGTTTTTCTTCCCGATTTGTAAAAATTCTGACTTTATAGAAAAATATATATATATTATTTTCAAAATTTGTGTAGCTAAATTATGGAAAATCCATTATTAAAACCAAAACAACTGTTATGAAGTTTAAATTTGCAGGCCTGTGTTAATATATGTTTTATTTTCTTGGATGTTATGTATGAATCTACATTTGGAAAAGAGGGAATTGTAAATTCATACATGTAATTGAAGGACCTACAGCGTAAAGTATTAAAGTTGTGCATAGTGTTGTAAGTAATGTGTGAGCAATTTTAAATTAGGAGGAGAAACTTTATAACTTCCCAAAACTAGAAATTACTACATAGCAATTGAATATATGTGGCATATCTAGTAATTATGGTGTGTGTTCTAAAGTTCTGGTAGTAGTAGTAGTATTCTTTGTGTATATCTTTTAATCTTTTTTTTATATGGGTCACAGGTGACAGGCTATGTCATTTCGTTTGTTGACTCGCATTCAAAATTTTAAAGAACTACTAAAGTCAAAATACTAAGTCTGTAGTTTCATGCGAATTAGAAACTCAAATTACAGATATTGACAAGCTAGGATATAAAATAAGAAGGTCTTATCTTTTCTATTTGCTCACGTAAGAAATCAAACATAGTGGCACCCTGCTCGCCTCCTTCCATTTTTGGAAATGCTCTCTTATGGACACTTACTTCTATATATGGCATGAATAACCAATTTATAGCTCAGAATGTCCCCTAGTGGTTTTCTAAACCTTTCTAACGTACCTAGTGTCATTTCTTTCTTTTAAATCAAGATTTCAATGAGGTAAGTTGTGTCTTTAGTCTGCTTGAAATTCATATTTTTTTACATCCAAATACAGCTTAGTTACTAAGCTTGATAAATTATAGTGGAATTCTATGGTATTGATGTAGTAATTTATGATTTTCTGGTTATTCAAAAGTATATATATAAAACCTAAAAAAAATATTTTGTTTCATGTCCTCCACATGCAAAATTTTTAAAGGCTTAGCAACCTACATCCAGCAGCAACTGAGTACAAAGGTCATAACTAGAAGAGATAATTGTTTGCTTTACTTCTTTATTTACTGTTCTTTGTTTTAGGAAAGATAACTTTAAGAACTTATTTCAAAACAGCAATAATCTATATACATATATAATGTATAATAATTGAAATGTGACTGTATTTTACAAAATACTAGTCAACCAAAACACAGCCAAGACAAGTTACTTTGTACAGACCAAAGGTCACCTATATGTTATTTGATATGGTAACATGAGTGCATATGATCTGCATCGTTGTAACTTCTGTATTGTTAGCCAGGCACAGGTAAAAGGTCAATATAATAAAAATAATAAATATATATATAAATGTATAATGTTGTGAGATTTGAGCTATTTTATTTAAACATTTATGTTTTCATGTTATAATTTGTGTTCATTCTAGAATGAAACATGCATAATTTATGTTTATTTCCTAATTTTTATGGTGGTTGCGAGATCGGTCAAATTTACCAAACCCGTACAGAGATTATTTAGTGAAAATAATGTTTTTTCATAAGAAATGTTTGATAACTATTTGGACATTATAAAGATTTTGCATGTGAAATTTCAAAAATTTCAGACACATAAAAGTATTTTTAATGTTAAGATGAAAATTACTTTGCATGATAGGCAAGATGTGAAAAGAAAAAAATGCATTAGAGAAACATTGCTTTACAAACCTTAAGACTTAATAAAAAAATTAGGTATTTTGCGTTGTAATGTTTTATTGGATTATTAGTGTTATACCTGATAATTTATGGTAGTCCTGTATGTTAATTATTATGTGAGTGATTATTATTTAGTTGTTTGTTTTCATATGCTTTACTTGTTTTACTAGGGAGATAAAAGGATATTTGCCAGTTAAAAACATTTAAGCCATAATTTTTGCTCTTTTATTGTAAGCATGAGTGTATGATATTGATGGAAGCTCGTATCATTTGTATACATCTGGATTTTTACTTTTAATTGTTATTATTTGCTACTGTAGAAAAAGCAGATCTCCAGAAAGAAGTTTGCTAACATGGCGTCGTGTTTTTGGAAGAGTTGTCTTATGTGTGGGAGTAATGATGATAATTTATATTACACAAAAAAAAGATTCTGAACAGGTGTTTGCTAAGCAGTCAGAAACTGTACAAGGGAGGAAACAGGAGATTCCCTGCTCCAAAGATTATGAGAATGAATTAACAAGGTTTAAAGGTAGGAATGTAAAATGGTAATTAAAAAATATATATATGTACAGTGTAACATCCAGTGATGTTAATTAATTGAAAGCTAAATGTATAGATATTACGTTATGTTAATATTTGTTGAGCAATCAAAATTTTCTGCAGTAATGCATGTTTAATAAAGCTTCCTACAATATGAATAATTAATTATATATTTCTTCAGCAAATTACCATAAAATGTGTGTATGTTGGTTTCCTGTGAGAAAACTTTCATAGGTCCAGCCAATATGAAAATAGCTTGTTAGAAACTAATAATGACACTAGACTTTGGTTCCAGTACCAGCTTGGTTGAAAGAGATTTAGAAGAAGACAGAGTGAAAAATAACACGGAATGCAGAAAAAAAGATTGGTAAAAAAAAGGGGGGGATATTAATGAATTCTTAAAGTATTTGCTGAAAATAGTCCTTTTAAACAAATTTAGTATGTGCAACTAAAATATTATATAAATATTAATATTTAATTATTTCTATAACCATGTTTTTGTTATGGATATCCATTAGTTTCAACTACTCATAAATTATAATTTTTATTATGATTTTTATTAATATTATTTCAGATATTCAAACAAAAGACAAAACTGTGAAATGCAGGTATTTCCTGGAGTTATAAACTCACAAGTTTTACTGGTAGTGAATTATGCCCAAAATGTTCATATTTGGTTTAAATAATTTTATTGCAGTTAGAACAACACATCCAACAAACCAAGTATATTTTTATAATGGACATCCATGGCTTACAGAAAAATTCAAAGAATGGATAGTGGCTTATACCATTTATTACTGGCATATGGAGTTTGTAATTTTATTATTAGTTGATTGGCATATTTGGATACCAGTGTTTTTCTTCTCTTGTAGTTATTTAAATATAATTTTATCAGCATTGTAGTGAAGATTAATACTTGTTTCTGTAGAGGGAATTTACAACTTTTTTTTCATCAGCTTCCCAAAAAATTAGTAGCATAACCATATTTCTATTTGTTAGCATTGTGTGAAGTGCTGTTCAAAATATTAACTCAATGGATTCTATACACATTGTAATATAGTCTAATATCAGTATATCAAATTTGGATGTTTTTAATTCATGGCTGTTGTCAAATTTGAAATTCAGTCGTGTTTGTTTGAATTAACATTTATTATGATCAAAAATAAATTGTTTGTTATCTTGAACCAAAACTTCCTGCCATTTTGACATCCTAATGTTTGTAATTTTATGTTATATTTTTTTTCCTCTGCTGAAACAAAAAAATCTATTATAAAATGGAAAAGTGAACTATTCCCTTTTTTTTAAGTTGGCAGGTGCTGTTGAGTGTTTCCATCTCTCTCTGGTCAGTAGTTCTGAATCAACTCTGGCTGTGAACTTGCAGGGTCTCTGACCTGGGTCTTTAGCCCGTGTGCTGCATAATGTATTGTTTAGGTGGGAAAACCTAAAAACCAAAATGGTTTTTACTTTAAAATCATCCAAATTAAGTAATAGTTTATCATCTATTAATTATAATATATGGATAATTTTATGTACTTTTTTGTAGCTAACAGACAAAATACTTTAACAAAAATAACAGGTAACCACAAACTGTGCTAATTAATGAAACACTCATTTCTAGGTTGTGTACCTCAACGATGTGGACGCCTGGTTACTGATTGGTTGGTTGCACCCCAAGAAGCAGCCCAACTTCTGAGGTAAGTGCATGTAGTTATAAAAACTAGTAAGTTATTGTTGATAACTTTGTAACAATTAAGCGAACACAGTAATTATAACTAAAATACTCTAAAATGAAATATGCTAACATACTGCATACTATAAATCAAAGAAAGTTAAATAATGATCATAATATTACATGCAGTAAAAATATTTTAATGAAACTAATAGATAATCACAACCAGTCGTGATTAGCTCCATAACATAAACACTCTCAAGAATACAAATCAACAACTTCCACAATGCCAAATGTAAATAACCCTGCCAAAGAAATACAGGCATAGCATGGTAAAGCCCAGAGAATAATAAATGCCACAAACAAAAGGATCCTGAGAATTAACCATATGTTCATGAACAATTTAAACTTATAATGGTTAGATTGCATTGAATTGTCAGATAGGTGTGTACACTGTACTCAGGACCTTAGGCACAGACATGAAAGCATTACATTTGTTTGTAATCTGTTCCTTTTTTTATTGGCATATATATCTCTGTTTTAAGTACCTGTTATTATTTAATTAATATCATAACAATTATTTGTTTTTTTTCAAACATTAATAAGTAGAGTTTCCAGCCTAAAACTTGTGAACAGTTTAGAAATAAATAATCAGTGAACTAACAATCATGAGGCAGCTAAAATTATTATACAGGCATCCACAAGAACGTAGACAACCTGCTTGATGATATAAATATTAGTTTAGTCTTGTTCATTTCCTGAGACAGTGAATCTTCAAACTGATCTTTTGTCTTCTGTTTTTTCATAACATAACACTTGTTTCACCATTTTACCCAAGTTTTTTTTTATAAGTGACACTAAATATGTGCAAAAAAAAAAGCCAAATGCAAATAACATAAAATTAATCATTGTTGTTTTAAGAGTATCCAAAGTCCCTAACTAATTTTATAAAGTAGTCTTGTGTCATAAGATATAGTGAAAAATTGAATTTAATGATTATGCCAAATAAAATACACTTGATTAAAATAGATGTTGGGAAATAAGTATGCCGTATATTATGTAAAGACTGAATTACATTTACATCTTAGTGAAAGATCAGCAAAATTCTTAACTTTAGCAATATACGTGTTAAGGTTTTGTGTGCTTCTTTTTAATTTGTTGTGTGTTTTAGAGTTTATAAATTGTATATAACATATAAGTTGGTAACTTAACATAATTTTTGATGAAAAACACTTCAGTTGCTATTTTATCTGGTTTTTATCAATCAATATGATGTCGCATAGAGACCTTGTGACTCTGCTTTATGCATGATTTCTAGAACTGTGTTAGAAGCTATGCTTAAAAGCCCTGTAATGCTGCAAAGTAGTACTGTACTGGGAAACATTCAAGTTTCTGCTATGCATTTTAAAGTTAGGAGTAAAATATGCAAGAATGACAGTAGACATGAAAATGGAACATAAATATTTTACAATTACTGTATACCATAAACTGTGTATTAAAACAGAGTAACCATGTAAATGTGAAATCTGGTTGATCATGCTTATGTTATTACAATACGGTGAAATGTTTTGAAAGATGGTGACCATACAGTTAAGTATAGACAGTAAAAAAAGAATATAGATGTACTAAAAGAAGGCTGTTTGTATTTGTTAGAGCAGTTCATAGTTTCAAAATAACCCAGTTAACTTTATATTTCAGCATAGCAAAGAAAGGTTTAGCACATGGAGGCTCTTCTGGAGGTGCTTCTATATTTGATCTTCATTCGGGTGCTCTATCTCACGGGGACAACTTTGTCAACATTTACAAGTATGAATGTGCTTACTGTAGAAAGTAGTTTTATAGCATTGTCATCTTATACTTTTGGTTAATATTTCCATTTGAATTAAGTAAATTGGGGTTAGAAATTTAACAGAGACAGTCGTGACCTGTTTTTTAATGTCATATCTGTCTTTTCAATGTTTATAAAAAGATTTAAAGTACACTAACATTGTTTATACTTTTCTTTTTCATCTGAAAATTATTTGTAGCTATTAGCATTTAAGAGTTGCAAATAATTAATTTTTTTATGTAGTATTAAAATTATACAATATTTAAATGGGTTACTTATAATTGTGTCATATTGATATCATTTTGATGATTCTGTTCAATTATTATTATAAGAGCTGATTTTAAATTAATATAAAAATTCTCAAAGCAAGGAAGCTGTTTCCATCACTGTTAAGCAGTGAGAGAAAAAAAAAAAGTCGAAACAAATATCTGCTATAAAAATAAGCAATTTGTAGATAGTTTGACACATCAAATGACTATGATAAATAAAAAAATAATTGTAGTAGTGTGAGTTATTTTTTTACTTTTTCAAGAAACTTAACATTGTCAAATTTGCAAAACTAGACTTAACTTTCATTATTTTGAAAAGATATAACTGTATGTGTTTTATTTTCCAATTTGTCAGGGTATGCATTATTCTTATTCACAACTTCTTTTTGAAGCTGTTGAATATAAAATATTACATGAGAGGTAGACAAAAAATCATGAAAGTCATTTAGATTCCTGTGCATATCATGGCTAGAACCAACTGATAAATTAGGCTTTAATACAGCTTGGTGCTGCTTTACTTGAGATAAAATCTATATGTATATATGGCTTAATGTTTCTATCATGGATTCCTGAAGTTAGATATCGTCAGTGTCAGCTAACTAGTTATTTTTATATTGAGCTTTTTTTTTTATTTTTGTTTCTAAAATACCAATGTACAACAATTAAGGTATTAACAGTATAATGTGATAACAACAGTGCTACTATCAGTAGAAAAGAGTTAAGATGCAGTTTTGTTTGAAAGTTTTGTATATTGTATTTACATTTTTATGGTGGTATTTTAAACACACACAGCACTGTTTTGAGAACAGTTTTATATATTGTATGTTAATCTGTAAATTGTATTTTACTAGGTTAATGAAGAAAGAAGGAAAGAGAACATTGTTTACACAGCATGATTTTGAAATTTACAAGTTAGTGAATTATGAAATTTCATGCATAACTTTTTATTTATGCAGTGTATATATATACATATGATTTCATGTATAAAACTATGTCTACACAATACATGCAAGGTATTTATATCAAAATATATTTCAAAATAGTGTTCAGATATTTCTATAATATCCATTCATTAGATTATGCTAAAATATTTACTTTTTTTAAGCAATTAAGTTTTCATTTCCCTAAAGATATTCTTATAAAGGCTGCATAAATTGTTATTACCTTGCAAAAATTAACTTTTTAATGATTAGTTTTTTGGACTGTGTGGTACCATGTGCTGTTGCAATACATTTATTTTTGTAAAACATATCAGTTCATAAGTAAAACACAATATTTTAACTCCTGAATAATGTATCACTGTTGAAGTACATACGGCCTATCATTAAGTAAATACAAATCAATCCATTCCATGATGGCTATATGCAAATAATCCTGCCATATAAATACAGGCATAGCATGGTAAAGCCCACAAAATAGTAAATGCCACAAACAAAAGAATCCTGGAAATTAACCATATATTCATGAAGTCTCATGCAGGGTAGTCAAATACAATGACATTCCATCTAGAATTAGTATCTCTTTACTTATTGGCAAACTGTGTATATTCCATAAATATACATATTTACTATAATTTATGTTATGTGCCCCCCTCCCCCTATGTTTTATATCAGGCTATACATTAGCTAAATTGATTTTAAGAAAATGTATAATGAAGAAAGAATTACATTGATAAATTTAAAAGAGAAAAATTGGCGAGTGTGGAGTTTTGGATTTATATCTTATCTAGCAGTTAAATGTTAATGATTTAAATAATTACATTTGCATGTACTTAACAAAAAAAAGAGCAAAAGGTGACTATTTTATTATTATAATGCTAAATCCACAGCTGTGATTTTTTGAGTAAAGAAGTGTTATCTAAAAGGCTGTTTTTCCTACTGTTTCGTGTATAAAATTTAAAATTTGAAAAGCTAACGGACATACAAAATGTCTATATCAAAGGTTCAAAATAATAAGCTCTTCAAATGGAGAAAACCTTAGCCTACCACAGTCTTATTTCTGACTTTATGTTCAGTCTTGTTCATATGATGATTCTGTGAATAGTTCTGTACAGTTGAAATATAAGAATGTTTCCATCATCATTGATTACATAAAAAATGTTCCATGTGTACTGTTTTGATTATCAGGCAGGTGGTAGCATTGCCTTTGTAGTAATTAAAAAAAAATTTAATTCTAGTGTAAATGATGTTATCATTACCCCTTGAAGTTAGCTTTCTTACAGAAATATGGTGTTCCTTTAACCCTATCGTCAAAGGTCAAAGGCCATGTCATCGCGTTTGTTGATTGCATTCAAAATTTTATTAAACTACTATTTTGTGAATGTATATCAATAAGTTTGGTATCAAATTGTAGATTATAATTCAAATTTTAATGTTATATATTAGTTAATTTCTTGATTTAAAAGTAAATATTACAAAAGAAATCCTAAATATCAATCTTTGTGTATTACGTGGTATGTTGAATTCAGTATTGGTTCAAATTAGATGTTTGTGATGTCTAAGTACAGTCTATATTTTTTTATGTATTAGGAATTCAAATTACCGCTACTGACAAGCTAGAATATAAGATAAGAACCTCCTATCTTTTCTGTTAGCTGAGATATCCCTACATTTGCCAAATCAAACACAATGGCCTGCCCATATCTTTCAATTTGAATAACCAATTGAAAGCTCAAAATGCCCCCCCTAGTGGCTATCTCAGCCTCTTTGAAGTATTTGGGCAGCAAATTCTTTCTTTTTATGCTAGCTTCCAAGTATATATATATATATTGTTTGCATTGTTTTTGTATGATTAATCTTAGCCATCCTTACATTTATGCCCCCTTTTGAAAAGTTTTTCTTTACTTGTACATTCTTATATCCAAAGTGATGGATATGTTTCTTAATCTATGATAATATTTTAAGTCAAGGCATTGATGTTACTTAAAAACAAGAAAACACTGAAGTTTATTTCAATGAATAAATCATTTGAACTGCCCAAAATCTATACACAATTAAGCTATCTTACCTGCGTGTATCCCTTAGAGATTTGCATGACACTAGCCTTTAGGCAACTCCCACCTAATATCACGAGATGTTCTCATGAACTGCGCTACTGCATAGTGATGTTATTATGCAGCAAAAGTCTTCCAGAAACAGTCCTATCTTTCTATGCTTTTTCACTTGTGAATTTTCATTTCTTCCATCAGATGTGTTTTTCTTTTCCAATTTAATAACATTTGTGATGTTTAATGAATTTAATTTCCTTCTTTTTTTCTACAAACTATGGACTCACTAGTTCATGTAACACCCAAACCACGTGTATGAGTGAATAATTTGCTCTCACAGGTTATGTAACAACTATGGCTTATAGAGGCATGTTTACTAGGGATGACCTAACAGCCTTTGTGCATGGGGTAGTGAGTTCCCTCACATATTAAGCACCTTCAGTTCCAGTTCCTTCCCTTCATTTCGAGGGTGAGGGTAGAATAAGTAGAATGAATTTGATTGTTTGCTCCTCCTGGTTATGCTTTGGGAATGTCTCTTCCTGTTGAAGAGAAACCATAAATTTTCTTGCATTATCATGACTTAGTTTCACAGGTATGTACCATTCTTTCTTTTTCTCCTGTGTCTTAATATTATTCTAGTTCCTATCTTCTTAATCCTAACCCTAACTAATTTTGTTTACGTTTTCCTTGACCAGTTACATTCTTGCAACCTCAAGCCTTTTTTCCCCATCTGTCTGATTCTTATATCCTCAATTTTAGTCATTCTGAATCCCATCTCTCGATTACCATATTGGGGATTGCCCTTGTCTGTGCTGGGAAGGTGGACTATTTGGTGTTGGTTTTGCCCTCTAGTGCCCAGTACTCCTGGCTTCACTTGATCCTTTTTACTATACTTCTTTACCCCAGAGACTGTTGTGAGCAATACTTGTTCCATTCACTTCTCCACTGTGGCCCATTCCACTTCTACTATTTCCCTGCTCACTAGTCTCTTTGTTGCTAGGAATTGTGAGATAGGGATACTCTCTTATCCCAGGTTTGTATTCTTTCTTCCCTTCCACAAGATCTTTGCCTTTCTCTACCCTGAAGTTTTGGGGTTATTCCTGATTTGATTAAATCACAGGTTGAGGTTACCTTTCATCAGTCCTCAATTTGTCCTTTGTTTCCACACTGTTCCAAACCCTACCCTCCACCAATGTACTTCAACTTAGTCCCTAGTTTCCCATCTTTTTATTCTCAACTTTCCTCTTCTTCCTGGCTTCAGACTTGATGAGCTTGCCGGTGATGATTGTGTCAAGTCAGGTCCTATGGGTCCCCAGCTATCACGGTTTGACATCTTGTGGACATGCTTTTCTTTCCACAGAGGGGTTACTCTACTTTTTAATCAGACTTCTCTCCCATTCTCTTTCTCTCTGCTTCTCAGCTCTCATCATGTTTCTTTTCTTCCTTCCAATCCCATCTACATACAACTTTTCAAGGAGGCAGTGTTCTTCAACACTTCCAAAATTTTCCATACCCCCAGTCAATATCTTATTCACATGGGAGTGCTTTTCTACTCATTTCTCAGCTATTCTCAGCCTTCTCCTATCTACCTGCAAGCTGTGGAACTACTAGCCACCAGGATTTGCACCTATCCTACTCGTACTGTGTTAGAGGTTTAGTGTTTGAAGACCGTGGCTTCACTGGAACTACTACTCCATTTGGGTTACACACAAGCACATCTCCTCTGTTGGTCCTTGGGCAATGAGAGGAATCTCTCCCAGGAAACTTTAACTTCAATGGTTCACCTTTCCTCTCCTCTACTCAGGGATTGTATTGATGGTTGGACCACTTCAATATCACCATCAGTATTCCATTACCTCCATCCAATCCAGACCTGCACCTTTTCACTGATGCTTCCCTCTCTGCATGGGGTGCATCTCTGAATGGCAATTTCACATCTAGCACATGGACCCAGGATGAGTCCTCTCTCCACATCAACACACTCTATCTTCCAGTATTCCATCATTGCCAGTTATTGGGCAACCTTGTCTATAACATTTTGCCTTTCTCGATACCACAGGGAGTTTTCCTCCCCAGTTTTCTGTACGTTGTTCCAGTCCATCCTTATCCATAGACCTACTTGGCATGTTTCCATGCCTGACTGGAACCTCATTGTTATTCTGCACACCCTTACCCGTGCTGCTTTCAAGTCTTTGGCAACCTGTAACTTATATCACCTTTCTTTTAAGACCTGTTTCCTCTTACTTCTCACCTATTGTCGCCATCATGCAGAGATTTATGCTATTGAATGTTCCCCTAATCCTCTCTATCATTCTTTTATTCTTCTTACCCTGACCAGTCCTTCATCCCGAAAACTTCAGCTGCTTGGGAAGGAGACCCCTCCTTTTCTTCTACCTCCCTTATTTCTATTTCACACCACTATGATTATTTGGACCTGGACAGAATTGTACTCTTTTCATACTGTTCATTTCTACTTAGCTTGTATTTTTCACTTCCTGGCTTTCATTAATTTCTATATTTGGTCTAATCCTCATTGAATGTTGACTGTTCCACATTTCATTCCATCAGATTCATCACCTCACTCATTTTTTCAGTGCTAGTTTCCAGTGGTCACTGTATGAGATTGTTCATGCTGGCATGTTGATTATCTTTCACACCTCCCTGCGACACAAGGGGTTTGTGTGCCACTTCATTTTTTTTTGTCCTGGGCAATGAGTATACCCTGGAAGAAGGACATGAGATGCAGTGTGTGCCTGTGGAGCCCCTGCCATTTGGTGTAACACTCCATAGATTTCCTTTGGGCACTTTCTGAAGGAAACTCATCTAGATAAATCTTTGCACTGGCCCTTCCACCACTTCACCATGGAATTCTAGTTTAATTGTGTGAAGAGGTGTACATAGTTTCAGAAGTTAATACTTTCCTTACCTGAAAATGTATTTCCAATAGATACTCACCTCTTTACACCCCCCCCCCCCTTTAGATGCACCTTAGTATTCCTTCTCTTGTTAAAGAATGAATATTCACGAGTGCAAGGCATAAAAGGAATTATTGTGCAGGGAGGTGGATCACTCTCCTATTGGTGGAGGGCTTTTGCTGCATAGTAATATCATTATGCAGTAGCACAATTCTTAAAAATATCTTGTGAGGTTAGGTTGAAGTTGTTTAAAGGCTAGTAACATGCAAATCTCTAAGGCAAACACGCAGGGAAGATAGCTTAATTGTGTGAAGAGGAAGGTTTCTATCAGAAATACATTTTCAGGAAAATGTTAACTTTCAATAACTTACATTCTGCTGATTGTTCTTTCTCTTTTCTTACATACATTGTTTAAACACTATAAGTTTATACTACTGTTTTTTCGTTAATGAAAAATATTAATTTTTTGCTTGCAATATCATTAAGACTATAAATATCTAGATGAGTAGAAAGTTAAGTAAATGTACACACGAGAAATCTCTTAAGATTCTTGAAGCAACTAAAAGTTAGTTTGAATTTACTGATAATGCATCAAGATTTAGTACAAGTTTCTCATTTAGAGTGAAAATTTCTGTGATACCTATAAAATTTTTTTTGTAGAAATACAGGGTAGTACAAATGTTAATTGCTATAGATCAGTATGCTAATTAATTTTCATTTTAATCTGTTTCAATTTAATGTATGATTACACGTGAATAATAATAAGTATGACTCACAGACTGACAAAGTTACAACACGTTACTGCAATTCAAATGGTATTCACACATGAGATTTAAGTGTAGGGAAACTAATTTTGTACCACCCCATATATTACTATTTGTTGTGGCTTCTACTCGAGTAAGAGATTTTGGGTGGAAGACAGAATTATTTCTGTATTTTTGCAAGAAGAATTACAGAAAAGACATTTGACCATTTGGTAAAATATTGAATTGCAATTAGTAATTTAAACATAATTTACTTATTAGTAAATATGTGAGAAAATTTCACATAGTTGATGCTGTTTGGTAACAAGTATACAATTCTTAGTCAGCTTATAAAGAAATTTGTTGTTCAAGATAATGACCCACCTAGTGCAGTTATGAATGAAGTAGATTTTTATTTTCGAAAGCTAGCTTATATTAACTCTGAAAACTCAATTATTTTTTCATAAAAATACTAAAATAAACTTACAAGCTATAAAACTTCACATCCAGTCATTATCATCTTTTGTTATCAAATGAATATTATGATAATACAAAGATATGGTTAAAATCGCTTTAAGGAAAAAAACTTGTGTGGTAAACATTTCAATGAAATGACCTTCATTGGAGGGTGGGTCCTGATGAAGGTTGTTTGTTTTTACCCTTAACATCAGTTTTAACCATTTGTGTATTTTCAGAGATTGTCATGCTATAGGAATATCTGATTAGTACTAAAGAAATATTAGGCTTAATTTGGATAGGAAACAAAAAATATACTGTTTATTAGAAACATAGGCTAAATTACTAAATTTTGCCAAATTCTTACTTCTGATTAGATAAGAGTAAGATCTGCAGTTATAAACAAATGAACCAAATCAAACAACCTTGGAAGTTGTTTTCATTATAGAATCTATTTTTTTTAAATAATTTGATTTTTTTATGACTGTTTGGCAACTTACGTATTTTTGCATGGAGAGCCAGGAATTTTGAATGTTAATATTGTGTATGTGTGTGTATATATAAAAATCTGCATTTATTATCCATGCAGTTTTTTTCAAAGTTGTTAGATAACTTCTAGTTTGTATTATAAAAAATGTATGGATAGTCACTGAAGCAATAGGAAAATAAAATGAAATTGCATACTTTTTAGTGGTGCAAAATAGAAAATAAAATGGATTTTTTATTTTTTTTATTATTACTTTCTAGCAGTGGTAAATAATAGTTTCAAGTAAGGCAAATGCTCAGTGGCAGCAATCCTCATGATTGGAATATATTACATTACAGTTCTTAGTGCACAAGAGGTTGACAACAATAAGTGTTTTTGTTCAATATAAGAATGAAATCAATTTTATTGTCAGTGTCAGAAAAACAAAAGGTCTTATGTAACAGTTTGTTTTTAATATATTTTAGGCTTATTTTAATTTTATATGTGGATTGACTCATAATTGTAAATTGACTCATAATTTTGTTGGTAAATCTTTTAAAGTATGTTTATAAAAAAAACGTATGTTCGAATTTTGTTACTGTGGATTTATAATTCAACAATGTATGATATGCTTATTTAAAATAATGTAAAATGACAAACATTTCTACATTCTTTCAGAAAAGTGAAAGACAAAATTCACCATATGATTGCAACAGAGTTTGGAATCCTGCCCCAGAAACTTTATCTTACCCATCCAACGTTCTTCTCCCAAATGTCAAACAAACTGGCTAAAACTAAGCACGATGAATATTGGCATATTCATGTTGACAAAGTAAGTTATATGTCATTCAGAATTGTGATGTTATTTAGAAGGTAATTTAATATATCTTTCTGTTCTTCTTATGTACCATATATGTTGTTTAATACATGGGATTTTATCAACTTCAAGGTCCTATTTCATTAGTAAAAAGGTATTCTTCTACACATAAACATGGAAGCTTCTAACATGCATTTTTTTACTCAGTTTTACTGCTAACAGGGAAAAAAAAAAAAATCTCTACAAAAGCTAAATATTGTCCACAAAGTTTTGCATCATTGTCATGTGAGCTTAACAAAATCCTAACAAGTGCTTTTGAACTTATTCAGAAATTTGAAGAAAAAAGTCTCCTGTACAAAGAAAACTAATTTGATATTTATTTTTAGTCTTTATTCTCTTTAAAATAGTGTTAGATAAAAAAAAGTTTTCTTTGGGCACCATGTTAAAGTTTATGAAATGGGATTAACTGTAATCAAAATTGACAAACAAAAAATTATAAAGTACTGTGAATTTTTCTTGTTTGTCATTTTTAGAAACTTCTCACTAGTTGTTTAAATGACCAATTATTTATTATATAATTATTGTAGGTAATGTAACAAAACCTTCTCATGTATTTATTGTTTTTTCATAAGTATGTCACTAATTCTGATTAGAACACCAAAGAGACGTGTATAATCACAATTTTATCCTAATTGGTCAAGCAGAAGAAACAGTTTAAGTTTCAATAACTTCTGTTAGGCCACTTGCAATAATTCTGCTTCTTGTAGTTATTTTACAGTAATGCTTATGTCAGGCAAGTGTTGGAGGCTGTTAACTTATTGTAACATTTGGGGACATCCTAAGTTGTATTAATGTTAAACATTTTTCAATACAGACTAAAGAAAAACTTCACTTAGTCCAAATTTCTCATATTAACACTATTCACACTTTCCTTTGTATAATTAACATACAATAGTTAATAATGGC